AGGCTGCCAGAAGACTCTCTCTGTTGGGATCTTGAAAAAGGGGGGGGGGGGGGGGGGGATTATTCAATTCGATCAGCAAGGATTTTTGGGGAGCTTGAGGCGAATGATTCTGCTGGTTCTTCGTTCTCTACTAATTTCTGGAACAAGCTATGGCATACGACTGCTTTGCCGAGAGTTAAGATCTTCTTTTGGAGAGCCTGTAGAGGTGCTTTACCTACATTGGTGGGGCTGGGGAAACGCTTGCCAGGAAGGAGTACTACTTGCTCGCTTTGTGAAGCGGTGGATGAGTCTGAGCTTCATTGCCTTAAGGAATGTGTGATTGCTAGATTGATGTGGGATGCGTGTGGTCTGCTGAAGGATATGGGCGGCTATTTCCGTACTTTTGGAGACTGGGCTGCTGCTTGTTTCGATTGTTTACCAAGGTCAGAACATGGGCTTTTCATGACAATTTGTTGGTTAATTTGGTCTGCTCGAAATAAGTGGATTTTTGATGGTGAAGTGTGTAACCCACAACATTCTTTGGAGTATGCAACAAAGTTGATGACTGAGTTGAAGGGGGAGGACAGTGAGCTGGCTAATGTTGGGGGAAGAGTGCAGCAAAAATGGAAGCCGCCTAGACAGGGCTTTGTGAAGCTCAATGTAGATGGAGGCACTATGACTGGGCTCGGGTCGAGTGCAGGGGCTGCTGTGCGTGACGAGTCGGGTTCTTTGCTGTTGGCTGCTGCTTGGATGGTGGAAAACCGTTGGCTGCCAGAGATAGCTGAAGCAAAAAGCTTGTTCTTTGGGATTCAAGCTGCTGTGAATCATGGGTTTAGGAAAGTGGTGGTTGAGAGTGATTGCCTTGGGTTGATTAATGCCATTAAGTCACAGGAGAGGGGTGGGAGCATTTTACATCTTATTTTAGATGATATTTATCATGTTAGTAGCTTGCTTGATTGTGTGCACTTTAGTTTTATTCGTAGGGAGGGTAATAAGGTGGCTCATGAGCTAGCTCATAGCTTACCATGGAGGGTAGGTAGTCGAGTTTAGTTGTCGGATTTTCCGAGTAATATTGTATCGTTGGTGAACAAGGATCTTCCTATGAATGAAATCTAGTTGCTCCTTGGGAGCTTTTCTTCAAAAAAAAAGAAAGAAGAAGGAGTAGATTTGAGTTGTGTTTTATTTGTAAAGTAGTGTGTTTTAGGAGGTGGTCCATCTAAAATAGATGGACCAGGGTTCACACAATTACAATTTAAAGTTTGTTTTGCTTATTAGAGTAATGATTCTTGTGAATTTTTTTGGAATTTTTTTTTATTAATAATTCGAATTGGATCGGATTGGATTCGGAGTATAAGATTTTAATTTGGATTGGATTGGATTGAATTGAAAACTTTGAATTTGGATTTGGACTATAAAATGAGAGTCCAAATATATTTCGGATTGGATTGGAGTAGGCTTCACTTCAATCCAAAGTCCGAACAGACACCCCTAGCCACACAACCACGACCGACGACTCTGCTACAACGTCATTATTGTCGCGGGGCCATCGGACCCTTACTCGGCTACTCCCCTAGGTAAAGGCAGTCTGCTACTCTCTCTCTCTCTCTCACTTTCTCAATTTCTTAAATATTTTGATATGTTTTTTACTTGTTTAAATCGTAGATTGTTAATCGTTTTTCTTTTAAGTGTTTTTTTTTCAATCTGTTTTTAAATTTTTTAATTTCTTAATTGTTAATATGTTGATTGTTTTGTTGTATTGTTAACCGTTAAATAGGCAGTAGAGTAGTGTAGCACTGATTAATTTATTTTAGTTATTGTAGTGTGTGACCACGAAAAGTTTTGAGCATTTTTGGAACAAATCTCAAAAATCATCAAACTTTTCCTCTCCAAACTCTAAACCTATTAGTGAAGACATAGAGGATGAACAAGACATCGAGTCACCTAATGTCATTCAACCTCCACTTGAAAGCAATCCACAAGCACATGGAACAAGTACTCAAATGTTGGTATTTATTTCAACACTTTATTTTACACTTCAATACTCGATTTATATCTGTGCATTCAAATATTGGGGGCTTGATGAATTGAAGTTCGAACCCCCTAGATACAATTCCTGGATCCGCCACTAGATCAACATCGGTCCACCCCGATCCGACCCGAAAAAGGCGGGTTTGGGCAAGTCTAAAAACACATTTTTGTTTAAAAAAACCCTAACCCGACCCGGGTTAAGTCTGCTTTGACCCAACTAGCCCGTTACGTTTTGGTGAGTTTGAGCATGAGGAATTATGTTAAGGCCCGGCCCGGCCCGATTTTTTTTTTATCACCTCTAAGCTAATTATATTCATGGTTAAAATATAGAGCATTTAGGATTTTAGGAACACAACATTGAGCAAATTTTAAGATGCACATGGTGCACCTAAAATAGGTGCACCACGCCTATACTTTTAAACATTTAGTAAAAAAATTTGAACAATTGCAAATTGAACATTAAAAATATTTGAACGTCACAAATTTTGAACATTTAGTTAAAAAAATCTGAACAATCGTAATGCATCACACCTATACTTTTGAACATTTAGAAAAAAAATCTGAACAATCGCGAATTTTAAACATTTAGTAAAAAAATATGAACATCGCAAATTTTGAACATTTAGTAAAAAAAATCTGAACAATCGCAATGCACCACACATATACTTTTGAACATTTAGTAAAAAAATATGAACAATAACAAATTTTGAACATTTAGAAAAAAAATATGAACAATCACAAATTTTGAATTAATGCAAGTCAAATAAATTTTTAAAGAAGTTTGTCTAACTCGTAATAATTCAATAGTTTTGTAATATAAACTGAACATTTACTGTATACAAATTGAACATTTCTTTATAAAATATGAACATAAAAATTGCATGTTTATGTTCATTTTTTGTGATGTGTTCATATTTTTTTTACTAGATGTTCATATTTTTGTAAAATGTTCAAATTATTTTCACTAAATGTTCAAAAGTATAGGAGTGGTGCACCTATTTCTAGATGCACCAATACTAATTGGTATTGAAGTCATGTCAATCATGCATCCAATTGGGTTCAATTCGAGTTCAAGTCATGTTAAGTTCGAATCAATTGGCCAGCTTAATTAGTCTAGATTTGATACAGGTTTGTAGCAGGATATTTCATATGTGAGTAAACTTTTTAGTTGGGTAGGTTTTGATAAAGTCTTCTCGGATTAGGGTCACTTTGGGTAGAATCATTGTCAAATTGGAGAAAGTTTGGGTTAGGTAAAGTTCACGCCATACTTTTTTCGTCCCAAATGAAAACTCAAGCCATCGATTCGCCGATAATTAGGAATATGTAAGATTCTTTCTTTTCAATTTTATCTTTTTCCTTCTCATTAACCCTATCTACCCTTTGACTAATTTATTTACCCACAACACATTGACACATAAACTGAGGTCAATTGACCAAATTGGTAAATAAAAAAGACTCTTAGCGACAATTTGATAAAAAAAACTTACTCCGGCGACAAATTAGTAAAAAAAAACTAACCTTAAGCAACAATTTGGTAAATAAAATAATCTCAGACGACACTTAACCCAAAAAAGACAAAAAAAATCGATAAATTACTCGCGAATGCTTAATATAGTTTGTTTTTCTTGTTATTTTACCAACCCTTTTTTTTACGGAAATTACAATTTGAAGAAAAAAAACGTTAAGTATCAATTTTCACTTAAGTTTCATACCCCTTATTAACGAAATTTTTTTAAAAAGGGGTTGGAAATAAAAAGGGATGACATGTAAATTCAATATTTTAAATGGAAAAAATAAATTTAAGAACACAAAAACAAATTAAAATAGGATTTTTAAAGAGTTTGTCGGGAAAAAATAGATTTTTTGGTCAAAATGTCGCCGGAGTCTATTATTTTTACCAAATTGTCGCACATTGTTAGCTTTTTTTATCAAACTGTCGCCGAAGTAAGTTTTTTTACCAAATTGTCGCTAGAAGTCTTTTTTATTTACCAATCTGGTCAATTGGCCCATAAACTGATATTACTAACTCCATTTTAAATTTACTGCTTTAGCAATGTTTAGTCTCTAACTTATTCATGGTCTGGAATACTACTATTAACTGTATTGCCTCTCTTTGGTTTCGATGCAATGAGCCAATGACTAGTCTCTTAAAGAAACTACATAGTACGGACGGTATCATGTCGTGAAATACTACCTCTAAGTAAATTTTCACTTTAAACTAATTTTTTGACGTCAAACCACCTTTAAACAACCAACAAAGTAACAAACAATCTACTTTTAACTTTCTTGTCAAAATTAAAAAAAAAAAATAAAAAAAAATCTACTTTTAACACCAAAACAAACACAACTTACTTAAACTGCCTCATCACGCGAAAACCTTCCAACCCCAAAAACAAGACCTCTTACCCCAAAATCCACCATATCGTAGCTCAAAACGACTTAACCAACTCGCAATATCCCCAACCACCCTAAAAATAGTCTTACCATGAAAACCAACCCCGCATACTCAACAGCCGCCCAACAGTTTAACCCTAAAAAAAAAAGTTTGCCAAAGGTCATCAAGTGATCAACACATAAGCGAGTCAACGTCGGATAAATTGGTCAACAGTGAAAAATTGACTGAAAGTAGTCTTTTATAACATTTTAGCTTTTATTAATTTACAAGTAGTTGGTTCTGAAAAAGAAAAAAAAAAAATTAGGGTCTGTTTTCATTGACTGAACTCAGTTGAACTGAACTGAGCTTAGCTGACCTAAAATGAATATTTTATAAGAGAAGGAAATTAGGAGCTTAAGTGAGCTGAGCTGAGCTGAATTTCAACGTAAGAGAACAGACCCTTACAAGTAGTTCTTAAACCTTTCAACATTTCCACGTCCCATGCAATAGACTTCGACTTGAGCAGTCCTTAAATTAAAGCTGTTACAGTCACTACTCAGTAGACAGAGTACAATTTTCAATACAGAACAAATATCTATTGCAGAAATACAGACCTTATTTACTTAGTCTTGATTATTATCTCAGCATTTGGTGATGCTCGACGATATTGCATAGCCTCCACAGCAAAGTCATATCTTGTTTGTAATCTCATTTTTGCACTGATGAATTCAATTGTCATATTCCCTAGGACAGGAGAATGGCCTAGAATGTATTTTAACAGTTGTAGCTCACCGCTCAACCCTGATAAACCAAAGAGCTGCACTTTTCTGAGGCATTGAAGGATGTAAGAGCAATCAATCTGAATTGAGTGATGAACGATGCCATCTATATTATCTTTAGCCTAAAAATAATACAAAGGCAGATCAGATGTTATCCAATTATCTAGTAATCGAACAGGGCAATGAAATTGACAACAGAGTGAATAGACCATATGATGATATGAGCAACAATGAAATTGACAGCTAAATACTACCCCGGTTCTTATTATGTGCAACAAAAGAATATTTTATATCTTACAAATAATACCACTTTGTTTCAAATAATAAGAAACGGAGGTGATACTACTTGTATAAACTTACTTCAATGGATAGTAGCTTTAACTGTGGGGAGCTCGTAAGCAAGAGAACAACAAACGAAATTTGGAATTGATTGTACAATGATATTTCTACCAAATTCAAAGTTCGCAACTGTGCCAATTCTTTTGGAATTTTTTCGGGTAATATAAAATGATCGAATGTCTGCAAATCAAATAATTGACAAAAGCGCACAATGATCAGTAAGTACAGTTGAAATGCTATATGTTGAAACTTGAACTCAGTTCACTTACCCGCCAAAAACAGCCTTTCAGAGTGAGATTCTTAATATTGGCAAAGAAATCGAGGATCTCATTCCAGCAGAAAGGTAACTTAATGTCCAGGTCTAATGTATCTAAAGCCATAGTTTCTTCTATGCGTAGCCAGGAGAGTGAACCTGTCACAAACAAATTCTTAAGTTTTGGAGCATGAATTTTTAAGGTAGCCAGTTCAAAAATCCTTAGATGGAGGCTTTCGAGTTGTGGGCATCTTGAAATAAAAATTTCCAACACCTTTGTCTCAATACAACTGTCTCGAAGATTCAAGCAGCGGCTATTCAATTCAAGCTTAATAAGGCATGGAAATCCTTTAAAAGTTGAAGGGAGGGAATTGAAAGGAGTTTGCATCGGGTGAGAGTCAAATGTGTGAAGCCCGAACATGTGAAGATACATGTAGGCAAATTCTTACGCAGACTGGGAGCAAACTCCAGGATGAATTCCTTGATATCATTAGCAAAAACATGCCGTATCCACATGTATGTTTCTCCCGGGAACCAAGAGGGAACATAAAGTACAAACTTAGATATTGGTCCAGCACGACTAAGAAGTATATTGTTAACAGTATTTGAGTAAGCTGATGATATGACTGCAGGTTCATTTTTTCCCTTTGTGATGTCTTTACAAAATGACTTATCAAGTATAAGCTGTGGAATCGAAGCCCATTTATACCTCCAATGTTGCGACAAAACCCTTGTCTTAGCAGCTTCTCGTAGCGGTAAGCATTCTAGGATTTTATGTATTAAATCCAGTGGCAAGTTGCTGATTCGATCAACTTTCACACCACGGCTCCGCTTGTCTATGGAAGCTCCAACGCCAGACATACTATCAATTGATTTTAGAGAATAAGAGTGAAGGCAAGCAAAGAGAATTCAATTAAAACTAGTGAGATGTCAATAATTTATAGCATGATAATTGTAGCTGTAGACAAGCAGGTTTTTTAGAGTTAATGACATATTATCATCATTATATTTGTGACAGTTGCTATGTGAATGTATGTGAAGTAATCTAGTGATAAATTAGTCAAAATTCTAGTTAGCTAAACGGAAGGAGAAAAACAATGAAAAGGGCAGTATCAAAACACAAAATCGCTTTATAAAGCAAACAAAATTGAATTACAAGTAGTAGTAAAACATAACATATACTTCCTCCGTTCTGTTAATATTCCAACAAGGAGGAAATTACGCATCCCGAAACACCTTTTATATGCTAAATATCTATAATTGTGTAAGTGTAAAAATTATAAAAAGTTGATATTGTGAAAGTATTTTATGAGACGAATCCAACAAGATCCTACTTGACTATATTTTGCTTAACCGTATAACTCATATTATATGGTCAAATAAGAGTGATGAATAGTGCAAAAAGTCCATTGTTGCAATATTAATAGAACTGAGGAAGTATAACCTCAACTCCTTTCTTAATGGATGCAAGCAATATCTAACAAAAACTAGTGAGAATATGTTTATCCACACACATTATGACATTTAAACCATATTGCAATTGCACCACTTTTGCAATTCAACATGTCCGATCCCTTATTATATTACATAATCACCATATACAAGAACTTGGTTCACCATATACAAGAGCTTAGTGAAATTTACTGATATGTACCACAAAATGATAACAGCAATAGATAGACAACACCAATTTCACCAAACTAAATAAAATTTTCAACGGATGTCAATTAACAAGGGCAGATCACTGGCTAAGTACAGAGAACGAAAATATATTCTATTATAAGTACGTGTTAAAAGCCAAATTGAAGGAAGCCATAAAAACATAACTAAAAATTGATGTGATTTACCTTCCCCCAGCTTCCCTGATTCCCATCCATTCTTATTTAGTTCAATTTTCAGATTTTCAATTGACAGCTAATTCACTAAGAGATTCTTGTATTTTCTTTTGCTGCTAAATCTCAGCAAGAGGCCTCCATTCCTTTAGTTCTCTTGACAAATTCAACTTTCCTCTATCTACTAGAGAGATCTTTGATACATTATCAAAACTGGTCATTCATCCACCCTCTACTTTCTCAAACATTACATCGGTTCTTGTACCATTAATTAGCCTAACTTCAAATCGACGAGTCAACATACAACCTGTGTCTATTTTTAGATTTTTTATGGATGAGTAGAAAGACTCGTGCAAAATAGATTGAATATTACAAAATTCCCACAAGAGAAAGACTATAACATACTAACATACTTTAATTGTTTCTAGTTTCTGGAGAGATAAACTAAAAATTAGAAATTTGAAGTTGTAAATGTACCACACTCATTGTGCACCAAAATAACACAACACAAGACAAGGGAAACAACCAGTTGACAAAATCTCATCATTTTTTTGAGCAACTTTAAGAAAATATGAACACCCGTTTAAACTAATTGACACCATCTTTAAATACGAACCATTTAAAACATAATTGATAATAAATTGTCAAATTTTAACAAAACCCTTGAATGACACAATCAAATAGGTAAGAAAAAAGCAAATTCAAATTATAAAATCCCCCCAAAAAATCATATCACTCAACAAAAGAAACCAAGCAACAGAATAATTAGCATATGCAATTCATCTAATTTCATATACATTAGTTTAGATAAACCAAAAAATAATCACTCAAAATAGAAACCCTAGAAACAGAAATCAACACAACAATTAAAGCAATTTAAAGGTAAATTGTAGTGACCATACCGTGAGACGTGGTTGCAATTGGTGAAATCCACTAAAAGATTGGGTGAGAATCGAAGTAAGGATACGGAAATTAGTACCAAATTTCAGGAAGCCATTGATTTGGGCAAAGTGGAGTAGCTCTCAAAGTCTCAATAACGGACTCAATAATATTTTATTATACCCAAAAAAAATTGCAGAATTTCGACAACATAAGCCCAAAAAATACAGATTTTCAACAACTAACAACAAGTATAAATTATCGCTGAATTTCGACACGAGGTTTCGCCGTGGGAATTTCGTGAAAGTATTAAACCCCTAAAACTGCATGATTTCGACATTAAAAACCAAAAAAAAAATGCCTAAAATTCCAGAATTTTAACATATACAAAGACCCCAAACGGACCCTATTCCCCAAATTTCATAATTTACAACAACGAATTTCACTTTAGGCAAAAGAAATTGAAGTATACTAACCTTTTAATCAAGCAATTGCACAATAACTCCATTTAAATTGCATTCGAAAATTTCTTCAAAATAGGCGTTAGTGTTCTACTGTAGGTATGTATCAGTGTTGTGTTTGGTTTCATGGCATCAACTATAATAACTAAGGGCATTATTGTCTTTTGACACTAACGGAATATTAACGGTGTTAATTTTTTTTTGGTGTTCTACCCGGTTCACCCTTTGGGCTAATCCGGATTCGGGATCAGTTCTGGGTGGTTAGGTTTCAATCCCCTCCCGATTGTTATTGCGGGGGATCGAACACAAGTCCTCCCTATTAAGTGTAGTCTCAATCACCACTACACCAACAACCAATTGGTATATTAACGGTGTTAATAATAACAGTGTCTAATACATAATTAATATTTGTCAAGGGTACACCGTTCATTCAAAACTTTACAAGAGTACGTGGTACATTATTTTAATCCTTAGGGTACATGGAACAATTTCCATAATTTTTTTGGGCAAAGTGCAATTGGTGAAACACAATAATTTTTTACATAGCTCTCAATGAAGGACACATGAGTCATGATAATGGGTTTCAAAAAAAAAAAAAAAAAAAAACTCTATGATAATATATTTTTAAATTTAAAAAAAAAATTATGATATACTACTATCTTCGTCCCTAAATTTAATATTTATTTGACTAATTTGGGTTTAAATATGAAAACTTTGACTATAAATTGTCGTTAATATATATATAAGAGATTATATGTTCATGATTGTATATTATTAATATCAAATTGTTATAATTTTACGTGTATGAAAATAAAGATATAGACATTTTAAGACACGTCTTGGTGAGCATGAAAAGTCAAACGAGAACTTTATTTAAGGACGGAAGGAGCTGAGCACATATTTTTTTTATGGTGGAGAGGCCATGAGGGCAGTTCAATTAGATTAAGGGGTTTGATAGTTTTTTGTTGGCTTTTAATAAGCTGGTTTTTTTTTGCCAAAAGTCAAAAGCTAATTGGAGTATCCTTTTCTATTAGCTTTTGGCTTGTTGGATCACTTTATTACTAATTAACAGCTAACTATAAATAATTTTACCAAAAACACTTTTGTAAAAAGTTGGCTAAAATAACCAACTCATAAAGCCAATAATCCATACACCTACTACTTTCAACTAATAGTCAAACAAGCCAACTATCAACAGCAAACCGCCGATTGCCAACAGCCCCTAAGTGGCACATAGCAGATTAGTAGTCAATAATTGCTGGGTTATTCTCTCCAAATTACACAATTAGCTGGGTAACATGATTACACAATATTGGGTGAGACAAATTTTTTATTAACTACTTGTAAGACAGGTTAAAGTTACCTATAATTAATTAAAATTTGTAGAGGATTTGTATAGCTCTTATCTCGGGGCTATATGCAAAAATTAGGTCACAAACTAGTCAATTAATTAATTAATGGCAGGAGACTTGGACCCTTGGAATTCTATATTTTATACGACTAGGGTGGCCTACGTGCGCGATGTGCGCAAAATGGCTAGCTCTTGCGGAGAAGTTTTATTGGTGTTTGTTTACACCTTTGGTTTGGGTGGTAGTTTTAATACTACTATGTGGATTATATGCTTTTGGAATTCACCAATTTTATGACAATTATTTTCAATGCCCGACCGATCCGGTCCGAAAATAACGCGAGTTTGGACAATACAAATTTTTCCCTACACCTCTAGCTATGTAGGTAGCACTGCCTGCACCCCCTCTTCATCATAATGGCGTCATCTTATAATTTTTCGGTTTTGAATCATATATAAAATGTTCATTTTAGTATATATAAATGTTCATTTTTGTAAATATAAATGTTCAGTTTTGTATCATTAAATGTTCAATATTGTTAATACAACGTACTTCCTCCGTTTCTTATTAGTTGACACGTTTTCAATAATTTATATCTTTAATTAGAGATAAGCAAAAATTATAAAAAGTTTATATTTGGAAAATATACCTTGTGACGAATCTAGCAAGATCTCACTTGACTATATTTTTCAACACTTTTTAAATAAAAAAAATTACTACTCCTTATACTTCATATGATATGAAGAAAAGGACTAAGAAGTAGAGTAGCTTACCATAAAAGTACTTTGTACTATATTATTATGATACTTTTTTTGGGTAGGGAAGGGCAGTTAAATTACTTGGATTAAGTGTCGCATAGCACTATAGCAGCCAATAAGGGTATGTTCTCATTAACTGAACTCAGTTGAAATGAACTGAAATGAATATTTTATAAGAGAAGGAAATTAGGAGCTGAACAAAAATGAACTGAACTGAGCTGAACTGAACTGAAATTCAACGTATGAGAACATGCTCTAAGTATGTACAAAGATCTAGAGTTTAACATGACTCATTCATGGGAGTCAAAAGAAGGTTTTGCAACAGTCAAATAGTTCCCTCGCTAATGGATTGAACATTCTTACATATTAAACAGTTGGAAGCCTTTTGTAAGACCTTGATTAAAGAAAGACCTTATGAAGTGATGATTGTTATCAAGTCTTGATTATTATCTCAGCATTCGCAGAGGCTCGACGATAACCCATTACCATCAGTGCCAGATTTTTTTTTTCTTCCAGACCCATCTTTGAAGAGAATTCAATACTCATTTCCTTAAGGACAGGAGAATGGGCTACAATATATTG